GTAACTTTTCGGTCTCACCGAAAGAGCGAATCGGTCCCACCGAGATTGCAATGTAAACTCTCTGTTTCCCTTTTGTAACTTTTTGGTCTCACCGAAAGAGCAAATCGGTCCCACCGAGTTTGCCTGACCAACTCTCTGGTTAGCTTATTACCGAACTCGGTCTCACCGAGTTTGTGTAATCGGTCTCACTGAGATTACGTTATGCCCAAACCCTAACCATATCGGTCCTACCGAGTTGCATGCCAGTCCCACCGAAAATCTCTAACGGTCACTAGGTTTACCTTTTCGGTCCGACCGAGTTTGTTGATTCGGTCCCACCGAGATTGGAAAACGGTGTGTAACGGTTGGATTTTGTGTGGAGGCTATATATACCCCTTCACCTCCTCTTCATTCATGGAGAGAGCCATCAGAACACATACACAATTCCAACTCATATGTTCTGAGAGAGAACCACCTACTCATGTGTTGAGACCAAGATATTCCATTCCTACCATATGAATCTTGATCTCTAGCCTTCCCCAAGTTGCTTTCCACTCAAATCTTCTTTCCACAAAATCCAAATCCTATGAGAGAGAGTTGAGTGTTGGGGAGACTATCATTTGAAGCACAAGAGCAAGGAGTTCATCATCAACACACCATTTGTTACTTCTTGGAGAGTGGTGTCTCCTAGATTGGCTAGGTGTCACTTGGGAGCCTCCGACAAGATTGTGGAGTTGAACCAAGGAGTTTGTAAGGGCAAGGAGATCGCCTACTTCGTGAAGATCTACCGCTAGTGAGGCAAGTCCTTCGTGGGCGATGGCCATGGTGGGATAGACAAGGTTGCTACTTCGTGGACCCTTCGTGGGTGGAGCCCTCCGTGGACTCGCGCGACCGTTACCCTTCGTGGGTTGAAGTCTCCATCAACGTGGATGTAGGATAGCACCACCTATCCGAACCACGGGAAAAACATCTGTGTCTCCAACTGCATTTGAATTCTCCAAACCCTTCCCTTTACATTCTTGCAAGTTGCATGCTTTACTTTCCGCTGCCAATATACTCTTTGCATGCTTGCTTGAATTGTGAGATGATTGCTTGACTTGTCCTACAATAGCTAAAATCTGCCAAGAACTAAAATTGGGAAAAGGTTAAGTTTTTATTTGGTCAAGTAGTCTAATCACCCCCCCTCTAGACATACTTTCGATCCTACATAAAGATAAGAGATGATGTAACTCATTGTAGATGTGCTTTTATTGTGATTTCAAAATTACATGCAAGGCCTAATTAAGATAGAGTAAAATGCATCACAAGTCCTAAAACTATCATAGGTGTGTCAGTTTAGTCCTATAACTTTCAAACTGCACTTTTGGGTCCTAAAACTATCGGAAGTATGTCAGTTTAGTCCTATAACTTCGAAACTGCACTTTTGGGTCCTAAAACTATTGAAGGTGTGTCATTTTTAGTCCCATAACTTCAAAATTGCAGTTTTGGGTCTCAAAACTATGTATGTTTGTTCATCTGAGGTCCTAATCTTGCATGGCCACCAACCATGGTGCATTTTTTCAACTGATCCCTTTGTATGTGTTTATATCCCCCAAAGTGGTACATACGCTTCCACGTTGCAGTGTGTCCTGCAACCTGCATGGCCATGAGCTGCACGGTAGCCTCCCTGAGAGGTTTGGCGTGACCGTCGGGGAGACCCCGAGCTAGTCGGCATGAAGGACGACATCCCTCTCCCTCGGCGAGGCCGCCGGGGAGATCCCGAGCCAATTGGGATGGAGTACGCCATCCCACCTCTCTTTCTCTCTCTCTCTCTCTCTCTCTCTGTTTGATGATATCGTCGTTGCCCCGACACCCTTGCCGTAGAGTTGGCCGTGCAGGCTGTTGTTTGGGCACGAGCATGGTCATAGGTGGTGAGCTGTCGGGCGACACAGAGGAGTGCACGGAAACTGCAAAGCTGGCGCAGAGGTCGTCGAGAGTGACACAACCCTAGCAGTAGCCATAGGTGGGTAGCAATTGGACGTTGTGCGACATGTCGTTCTGCTGCTGTTGGGGGAGGCTGAGATGACCGGTCTACTCTCCTCGCTGGAGCTCAAACCATCATTCCACTGATGGCCTCTGTACCGTCGCCTCTGAGCATTCTGTGCGTGGGAGAAGACGAGCGCATGAGAACGAGGCGAGACAACGCTCTAGTTTTTTTTTTGCATATTTACCTGGTGGGCCCATTGAGTCAGGTCAACGTGGCTACAATCCAAGCATTTCCATGTGACTCGTTGGTGGGTCAATGCTAACCATGCAAGCTTAGGACCTAAGAGGAAGAAACTTACATAGTTTTGGGACCCACAACTACTGTTTCAAAGTTATATGACTAAACTGACACACCTTTGATAGTTTTAGGACCCAAAAGTGCAGTTTCGAAGTTATAGGACTAAATTGACACACCTCTGATAGTTTTAGGACCCAAAAGTGCAGTTTCAAAGTTATAGGACTAAACTGACACACCTCCGATAGTTTTAGGACTTATGATGCATTTTACTCATTAAGATAAGACTATCATATTAACCATTGTGCATGCCTTGCAGATTTGTTTGTCCATTTCAGCAGGTGCATGCATGGATTAATTGATCATCTCCTTTTGTGTACATACACTAGCTAGTTAGAAATGTATTCAAATTAGATGAGAGACTATAGCAAGATGATGATATTAATACAAGGAAGGGGAATATCGCATACTAGTACTTATCTATAATACTTAAATAGTTGATCCCCACTACACCTAATTCTCTTAGCATGCAGCCCTCCACATCATCATTGTGCCATGTGAGCATTCCCACTAGCCTATTTTCCAATTTTTGACTTCAGAGAACTATTCAGTCGTCGTGGGCCATTTATTTTCAGAAGTTGAGAAAGTCCAAGCGATACAGCACCTCAATTACTTTCCCCACCGATTCCCTGATTCCGCGCCTCTCTTCATCTTCTACGCTAGAATCTGGCTGCCAGCCTCCTCACCCCGGCGTTCAGAGATGCCCCCTCCCGCTGTCCCTCCGCCCCCGGTCGTCCTCGCAGTCGCAGTGGCGGCATCAGACGCACCGAACGTGGTGGACGCGGCCATCCCCGTCGAGGCCCCAGTTTCTGTGGTATCCAGCAGGGTGGCCTCGGGAAGTTACAGATTGCTGACAACCCCTCGCCTCCTCGCCGGTGCCATGGCCTGCAAGGCTGCAAGCCATCCCCGCGCAGCCGAGCCGTGCCTCCCCTCCGGCCCCTCCCCGCGTCGGCGGCCTCGGATGCACACACCGGATGAGGCCCTTAGCCGGGACACATCTCCAGCCCTCCGTCGCATCGCCTCCCCTCTATGCAGCAGCTTATCCCTACCGCGTCAAGACCAAGATTTTGCTGTGCTGAGGCTTCCGTGCAATAATTTTGCAAATAGAAGTAGGTGAGAAGGATCTGTAGTCCAGTTTTTCTCAGATCGTAGATTGAATGTCAGTTTTAACTCCATCGTGGCAACACAAAGTGTAGGTCTGACTACAATGGTCAGAAACCATATTGTTTCGTGTCTAGACTGATCTGGTTTTTGCTATAAAATTTGCTGGGCATTTCTTAAACATGGCTTACATTTGGCTCTATGTACTTTACTCTGGGGCAATAGCGTGTTGTTCATCTGAATTTGCATTAGTCAAGATTGCATCAATTTCATTTGAAGGCGTCTATAACATTGGCTTGATCTCATTTTTTATTAGATAAGATATTAATCGTATATGTGCATCATTTTCTTGGGGATAATCAAATCATTCATGTCCCATTTATACTGTTTCTTTGGCTTGCTATGCAGGCTACATCGAAGGCATTGGCAAAGCCATTAATTGGTTACCGGATGTAATAATCTTTACTCTTTCGAGAGATCTTCCTATTTGAATTGTTCCCAAAGGTGATCAGAAATCCAAATTGCTCCGCTATGAAATCTCGGTGTGTCTTCTTATTTTTTTCATAGGATTGATAGCCTATTTTAGGGAAGTCGCAAACTAAAGCTATGAATTATACATGAGGTGGAGTATGTGATCCCGAGCTACAGTGATCTCGGATGAACAGTAAAATCCAAAAAAAAGGCAAAACTTTCAAAAAAATCTGAATTGTTTTGGCAAGAAACTTTGATGTTTTGTCTACATGCATGCAAATTTTCATAATGAAATTACATTTGTAGGGATCACTGGAGCTTGGGATCATATGAGTACTTTCACTACTATATTTGCTTCATGAATGTATTTAAGAAAAAAGGAGATGGAAGACTTTGCCATCATCATTTTTATAATGGGTTACAAACAAGCATCTTTTGCCAAGTGACTTTCTATTATGCAAATGTGCAATGCATTAGATCAAGGCACCCATAAATATGACACTGAGAGTTTTTAATCCATGTTTCTTTCGAATAACCATAAATTTTAATTAGTTCTAAGTTGTTGTCATGTGTGTTTAAATGCAACACTCATTTACATACTTCCTCACTGTAATGTGCAGGCACCCTCATACTTCCTCACTGTAATGTGCAGGCACCCTCATTTGTTGCTAGGTTTGGTATGTCAGGAGAGTATCATTCTCATATATTTCTAATTTTATTCTTGATAAGTTATTACTATAAATTCCCGCAGGGGTATCATCTAGTTATGATAGAAAATTAGTAAGTAGAGACAACAATCAAGAGAGGACACTCGACAGACAGACAGAGACATGTGGAAGACAAAAGACAAATACACACATGCAAAACGAAATAAAGACACATAATTTTTTCTGACGAGGCCATGTGGAGGATGCACATGCCCCAGTTCCTTCCCATACACACACAGAGGCACAATTAAGCATGCATGCATGCATAGCATAGACATGTCGACTGAGACCTAGTTAAGGCAGTACTAGGCCCGGCCGGCCTATATATGCACTCAACTCTTATTTGGATACTTATCGCATGCACTTGCAGATAGACACGTACGCACACAAGTGTTTGAGTGCGGCTTGTACTAGCTAGTCGTCTACAGCCCAGGCTGGTACGCGACTCCGGTGGCGTTGAGCCACTCGTCCCCACGGATGAATCGCTTCCCCGTGTAATGCTCAGCTTGACCAGCGTCCATAACGTGGAGCCAGGGCACACGCTTGCTCAAGTTTGCCCCAGGGCCTGTGTTCGCGAACTCGCCGTAATAAACTGTAGGCGGGACGTTGCCGTCTGCTTTGTCCCATGGAACCCATCCGCTGGGATGCACGATGCCGTCGAGGAAAGACTGCATGAAGACCACATGGGAATGGTTCCTCCACGGCCTACCTAAGTACGTCTCGGCACCGTTGAGATCTTCATCTGATGTCACCCTGCAATTCTGGAACGAGAAGCCTGAGGAACCGTCAGGACCGTCGCGGCCTTGGGCTGTAATAACATTGTGTTTTCCTTTCAGCGGGGCACGTGCAAGGAGAAGGCTCTCCTGGAACACGGCCTTAGCATTGCCGTAAATGAAGTCCACGGTTCCGGAGATAATGCATTCCCGGTAGAACTGGCGATTGGAGTCGGCGAGGAGCGTGTCCTCATATCCCTTGAACTCGCAGCGATAGAACACCGAATGTTTGGAGTCTGACCTGAGAGCCACTGCTGCACCCGCCTCCCTGCCCGCCGTATTCTCAATGGTGAGGTCACGCGCCATGAGCATTGTGCCTTTGGCATCTGCATGCATGCGCGCAAATAAATTAAGCTTATGTCGAGCCAATGCAAGATATATAGCTACTATATATTAAGCCAATGAAAGAAGTGAAAAATAAGACTTATAATATAAAAAAATCAAGGAAATGAGATGAGCCAATTAAGCAGCAGTAGTACTAGTAAGCATGCAACAAATAAAGCTTGTTTGAAACACTTACAAACGACGGCCGTGTCATACGAGGCCCACCCGCCACCACTTCTACTCTTGTTGACGGAGATTACCATCTCATTGATTCCATCCCCAATCAACGCTATGTTGTTCTTCCTTATCACCACCTCCTCACGATATATTCCCCTCTTTATGTATATCACGTACCTCTTCCCTCTCACCGGCCGAGCTGCATCCAGGGCCTCGCTGACAGTGCTGAAGTGACCGCTCGCGTCCTTGGCAACCACCATGTCCACCTGCATATCGCCGACCGTCAAGTCCAACAGCTGCCGGTCCCTGGGTTGCACCCACGGAGGCATGGTGGTGGTGGTGGTGCTGCCAGCATCATTCCAAGCTAAGGTTTCTACAGCTGAGGCGTGGTCGTTGTTGAGGAGTAGGATCACCAAGAGAACCAATACAAGCGAGCTGCCTCTACCCATTCTGCTAGCTGTGTGATTTGCAGGAGCTGCTTGAGATCGGATTGTACGTGACCATACATATATATACTGTAGCAATAGAGAAGCTCATGGGTCATGGCTCTCCTTCTATTTCTCCGGGACACAGAGCCGAATATTTTGATTCTGCCCAATCCTAAGTAAACAAGGCACATGGGCTCCAAAAGTGAACATGGCTGCCTTGTTAGGCCGGCATCGAGGCCTTCACTGTTCATTCAAATTCAATGCGAGCAGTAAAGTACTACTACTAGGTGTAGTGTTAGGTGCTGTTGGAGTTAAACACGTCTCCGTCTCCTAGTCGGCTCGGATCGGTAACATATCTGGTGAAACGAGCCAACTCATGCACCTCGTCGGCTCGAGCTCAGTGGTAGCTGCTGATTGCTCAAAAATTGCTGCAAGATTTGCTGAACATATCTTCCACTGCTGCAAGATTTGCTTTGTTCTACTGCAGTTCATTCGCCAGCAGAAAAACTGTTCAATGAGTTTTAAGATCCACTTCATAGTTCATACATACTAGACTTACTAGAACTACTTTTTATGTGATCAAGAACTATTTTTTATGTGATCAAGCTGTGTCATTAGTTTTATTTGCCGCGAACTCTGTACTTTACTTTGTTTTCCCTTTTGTTTATGCCTACACGAACCAGAAAACACTAATTTTGGTCCTAGAGGAGTGAATTGCAGAAAACCACCACATTGAAGCCTAGGGTTGCAGAAAAGACTCTTCTACGATTTTGTGCCAGAATACACTGATTTTGGTCCTAATCACTTGCAGAAAACACCTAACCATCTGTTCGGGCATTTTAACCTCTATTATGATAGGTGGGGCCCGTTTCTGAGGACGTGGCTTAACGCCCATGAGCTCACGTCGTCTGACGACGCTACAGTGGCAACGGACGCGCCGTCTCGGTCAAAACGGCACGGGTCCCTTATCCACTTCATTCTCCCCCTTTGCCCACTCTACTCTCCTCTGTCTCTCTTTCTCCCCGTGCTCCATGGCGACGGCAAGCCTGCCGTCGGCGGGGGAGTGGATGGAGATGGCAGCAGAGGGTTGCTTCACGACGGCCAATCGAACCAACTGGAGGAGGTGTGCGGCAACTGAAACCCTAGTCGGGCCCCAAAGAGGAGAGCGCCGTCATAGTCGCTGGAGTATCGCGCCGCCGGCGCTCTTGCCCGTGCTGTGCAAGCTACTCCGACGGGTAGCCACCAATGGGCTTCTGGATTTGGCGGCGTTGAGTAAGTTGTCCCCCTCCTTTACCGTCGATTCTAGGGTTAGGGTTCAATTTCTCATAGTTCAATAGTTAGGCTTCGATTTGAATGAACTATAGGTCATTATTGTTTGCAGTCTAACCTCTGATATGTATCCTATCAGTTAGATGAATTTGCTTCAGTGTATGAAGTTAACTGAATTTTCTCAGTGTACAAAAGATTTTTAGTTGACTGAATATTGTTTAGTGTCAATAGTTAATTGAATTCTATCAGTGTCTGAAGTTAACTGGATTTAAGGTAGTGTATGAAGTTAAATGTATTTGCTTCAGTGTATGAACTTAACTGAATTTATTCAGTGTTCAAAAAATTTCAGTGAACTGAATATGCACTGCATATAATGTAGTCAGTGCATAGAAACTGTATGTGTGCTAATTAGTATTTTTGTGCACTGTATATACTTCAGTTTGTTATTGATTTTAATAATTAGAAACGTATGCATAGAAATTAATGTGTAGCTTCTTTGCTTTGTAGTTTGTGTGATGATGTGTGGAAAGTTAGGCTCCACTTTCATGATAGGGACAATTTGGAAAGGACCATGTGTGTTTCAGACATAACATTTCTGAATCTAATAGCACTAATAGAGATAGCAGGTTATGGAGAGGATGACTACATGTACTTTGTTAGGGATGCTGGCTTGTGAGTAGCTGGTTTGGAAGAGATCTGTGATGATGACAAGGTTGATGAGATGTTAGACCACATTTCCAACAGAGATCAGACCATAGTTAATCTGATAGTAGTTAGGGGTAGTGAGCCCAGACCTGGAGATTTAAACATAGGACATGTTTGTGAGCAGCAAGTTCCTATAGGCAGTGTTGGAGAGAGGACTGTTTATGAGGTCAGTGATGAAGGTGTGGTGTACAGGTCACCATCCAAAAAACAAGGAGAGTTGCACAAGTTGATGAGCAGGAGGCACAACCAATACAGTTTTACTCCACAGAGCAGAGCACACAACTGTTTATGCACAAATATATAGATATGGATGAAGGAAATGCAGGAGATGTTGATTTGGAGCAAGAGGAGTTGGAAAGAACTATGGAGCTTAAGAGGAGGAATAAAATACAGAGGTATAAGAAGCATAAGAAGAGTGTTGAGAGGGTGGAGGAAATTAAAAGAAAACTTCCTGTTTTACTAACTCAAGATGACTCTGACTTGGAGCAAGATGAGGATTTCATGGCTAGGATGCCTGAGACGAGGAGGCAGAGACAAGACCCATTTTTTACACTTTGAAGGTGACACTGATGTTGAAGAACCTTATGAGCTAGAAAAAGAGGTAGTGCATGAGGAACATGGAGAGGATGAGGAAATTGAAGAGGAGGTGGTACCACAAGGGGAAAAGAGGAGGAAGTTGAAAGTAAGAAAGGGGCCAACCAGTAGATCACATGCAAGTTTGGAGCAAGAATTTGAGAATGTTTGGGTACCATCATCTGATGAGGATCCAAATCCTGGTGATTTGAAGGAGGAGGATGATGATGATGGGGCAGTACCCCTAGCTTTTGTGCTTGGCAATAAGAGTAGGGCCAAAAAACCCAAACCAAGAATCTGGTATGCTGAGGCTAGAGAGAGCCCAGAGATGCAGTTTGTAAAGAAGCTTTGTTTTGATGATGTTTACCAATTTAGAAGCGCACTTCTCACATTCCACATAGCTCAAAACAGAAACTATCAGTTTCATAGGAACTGCGATGACAGAATCATAGCTATTTGCAGAGATGAACATTGCCCTTTCTTCATTGTAGCTTCTGTGTTGGCAAATGAGAGAACATTTTGCATTAGAAAGGCAAATTTTTTACACACATGTCCAGCTGTAGCAGAGAGCACCAAGGTGACTACCAAGTGGGTCACACATCAGGTGTTAGAAGCAATAAAAACAGATTTGAACACATCAATAACTACAATAATGCAAAATCTTTAGAGCAAGTATGGAGTTGAGATCAACACTCATATGGCCTAAAGGGCCGAGAACAAAGAAGTTAAGATGGTGCAAGGAGATCAGAGGGGGCAGTATACCAGGATTAGGGATTACTTGCAGGCTGTCTTGGACACAAATCCAGGTAGTAGGTGCATTGTCACTACTAAGTTCTTAAAGGAGCATCCAAGCATAAATCCAAGGTTCCATGGTTTGTTCATCTGTTTGAATGCTTGCAAGGAAGGATTTCTGAATGGATGTAGACCATTCATAGGTGATTACTTTTCCTTGTTTACTTTGCCTTGTTTCTAACTTGTGTTGTGTGCAATTGCAGGTGTGGATGGATGCTTCATCAAGCTGTCTACTGGCCAACAAATCCTGGCTGCCACAAGAAGGGGTGGGAATAATAACATATATCCCATTGCTTTTGCAGTTGTGGACAAAGAAGACACAAGCAGTTGGACTTGGTTTCTATCTGAACTAAAGATAGCAATTGGTGGAGAATCAGGGAGATTTGGTTATTACACCATAATCTCTGATAGACAGAAGGTAATTCCCATTCTGGGGTACTATTTGATAATATACATTGCTTACTAATTGCTTAGTTCATAATTGCTTAGTTTATAATTGCATAGTTCATAATTGCTTACTTCATAATTTCTTAGTTCATATTTGCTTAGTTGTTGGCCATATACATTGCTTAGTTGTGATTATGGTGATTTATCTAAACAGGGCCTTCTTAAAGCTGCAAACAATGTATTCCCCAACTGCCCACATAGATTTTGCCTTAGACACATTTATCAAAACTTTCAGACTGCTGGTTTTAGGGGGTCAGAATTAAAGAAGTACATGGATAAAGCTAGTTACTCTTATACTCAACATGACCATCTTGCTGCAATGGATGATCTTAGAAAAGAGTATAAGGCTGATTGGGCTTGGCTTAACAAAATTCCTAGAGTTACTTGGGCTAGATTTGCAATGGACCTCAATTGCAAAACTGACCTAGTTGTCAATAATATTAGTGAGGTCTTTAACAAGATGATATTAGATGTGAGGGGCAAACCAATAAAGACCATGATAGATGGAATCAGGACTAAGTTGATGATTAGATTCAATAGAAATAGGACTAAGACAGAGGTAGCCAAGTGGGATATATGCCCAACATATGTTGAGTTGCGTGAAGAAGCAAAGAAAAATTCTAGGCAGTGTCAAGCATTGATGGCTGGGCAAAATATCTACCAAGTGACAAGCAATGAGAGAACTTATTCAGTTAACCTACAACATAGGACATGTGGGTGCATGAAATGAGATATGACTGCAGTTGAAAGGATCGATATAGTTGACTAGAGGGGGGGGGGTGAATAGGCAACTAACAATTTTTAGCTTTTCTTTAACAATTTAAACTTTGCATCAAAGTAGGTTGTCTAGATATGCAATTAAGTGAGCAACCTATATGATACAACAACGATAGGAACACAAGCAAGCATGAGATACAACACAAATAAGCTTGCACAAGTAAAGGCACGAGATAACCAAGAGTGGAGCCGGTGGAGACGAGGATGTGTTGCCGAAGTTCCTTCCCTTTGAGGGGAAGTACGTCTCCGTTGGAGCGGTGTGGAGGCACAATGCTCCCCAAGAAGCCACTAGGGCCACCGTATTCTCCTCACGCCCTCACACAATGCGAGATGCCGTGAATCCACTATTGGTGCCCTTGGAGGCGGCGACCGAACCTTTACAAACAAGGTTGGGGCAATCTCCACAACTTAATTGGAGGCTCCCAACGACACCATGAAGCTTCACCACAATGGACTAT